AGCGTCCGTCTCGTCAAAACACCTGTCGGAGCCTTGTGCTGCGAGAGGCACCTGGACCAGTCGACAGAGGATGCTTGGGGAACGAGTGCTGATTCTTTTGTCACACTCGGCCTAGAGCGGCAGCGCAGCTTGACTGCGAGGTGACGGCGGCCCGCACCGCTTATGAAGTGATGGGCCTCCGCAGCCCTGGCACATGCCCTCGTCAGCTCTACATTCTGCGCCACCCCGTAATGGGATTTTGTCCTGTGCTTCAAGTTGCATGCATGCGGCTTCGGCTAAGTTTGCCGGCGTGTGCTGCAGAGGGAACATGTCTTGCATTCTTGTGTACCACGCCGAACAGGAATGTGACTTTGTCTCGAGCTGTGCCCTTAGGCCAAAAGCCACGGGACTGCACAGCATCCGCATTGAAGCAGACAAGGGGGCCCGCGTGATGGCCCGGACACCCAGCTCATGTCATCGTCTCCAACCATCCCTTCTCAAATCTACTTCCGATCCAACCCGCCCCTAAACATCCTAAACCCTGAGCCCTTTATACAAGCCTTACAACCCCCTCGAACGCAAGCCTTCCTTACCATTTGCCAGGTTGGCTCTTCTTGGGTCATCGACGAGCTGGCGTCAGACACTGCGGTACGTGCCTCTGCACAGGCTGGGCCCTGGTGGGGGGGTGTTGTTCGGATGGGTTTTCCTGACAGGTCTCCCTGGTTTCGGGGTCGAAGGGATTCCAACGAGCATCCCACTGCTGTGCCAGGTCACGCTGACCAACCACGTGCCAATCTATTTGGAGATTCAGTACAAACATTCGGCCATCGCCTCACTTTGACCTTTAGGCTTTGGAATGACAGTGCAGCAACTCTGCTGAGGCCGGGACGGCCTACATCCGACTGTATTGGGCCAGGATCCAAGAGCGGGAGAGACATGAGAGATGTGGAGACGTCGAAAGGCTGATAGGGTCGAAAGGCTGACAGGCATGGCAGAGGCAGGCGTGGCAGAGGCAGTGCCTGCCAAGTTTCACGATCTCCACATCTCTCCACCAAGGCGGCGACGGACTTCGAAGATGAGCTCGTCCCGAGCAACAACTTGCTCCATCCGCTCAACGTATGCAGACCCAGCACTGCTTCATGCAACTCACGGATTTCCCGTGCAGTGCCTCTGCCGTCTCCGGCATGAATTTTAAGCTGTGAGGTCCTGGCCCTCGATACCACGACCGTTGTTGTGCAGGGCCCCCCAGTACGCGCATCCACCCACCATAATTCACCATAGCTCGCAAGCAGCTGCCCAATATGCCCTGGCCATCGCATCCCATCGCAGTCTCTTTGATGCACTTTCAGTGCGCCCCTCAGGCCGCAAGAAGCCGCCGAGACCTCCGTGGCGTCGGGCGCCACTTGGCCTTATAGCAAGAAGAAGACAAAAAGAGGCACATCATAGGGGGGGCACCATAAGGGGGGGGGGCACATCTGGGAAAAGAAGACCGAATACTCAGCAGACGACATGGGACGACGGAGCCTCCAAGGATGCCTTGGCCACGGTGATCTCCGGCCAGGCGCGCAAAAAGGGCAACCAAAAGGGGGCAAAGAAAGTCCCTTCCTTCTCTCTCTCGCATATACGCTATGGTTTTTTTGGATTCGTTTCTTCGTGAGCAGAGAAGCGGGGGAGGACAACAGCTTCATCATCCACACACGGGACGCCGAAGACAACCCGCGCTCCACGGACACGCTGGCGGCTCATGGGGCATCTCATAGGGCGGCACACGCCTCTCAGCAATGCCCAACGGCCGTTTGGGCTGTTTCTCTTTCCTTTTTTGTCTCCCTACATCTTCAGTGCCAAGGACCTCGGTGTTCACCGGCTACATGAACTCCAACCCCACGGTGCAGTTGTCCTTCACATACCTTGGAGGTGCGACAAAAAAGCAAGCCACTGCACCCTAATCCTTGCGCACCTGTTGCATCCTGTTGCGCTCAGAGGGGCGGGGGGAAAACAGGGAGAGAGCACGAAGTGCCACACATTTGGGGGCCTTTGACTTGGGGGGGAGGCGGCAATTACACGGCGACTATCAATCCAATCGCCGCTGGGGACTTCCCAATGCATGTCTTGGTCAACGGCGCGGGTCCCAGGACTTGCCGCTTACCTGTGCTGTGCTGGCGGCTGGAAGATGTGACACATATGTGGCGCTCTCGTGCGTTCTCCGCGAACTTGGCTTCAGTGCCGACCCTCCTCCTTTGTCCCCCCCACCCCGCTCACACTTTCAGTGCCCCCCTTCCTGAGCCTAGTGTAGCCATACCCACCAGCTGCCGGAGAAAGAGCAGCGAACATCAAGCCACATGAAGCGACCTGAGCCGGAGCGTTTTCAAGGGACGCGCCATGGCCCGCGCTTACTTCTTGGCCGTCTTCGCGCCCGAGGGCTGGCCGAGCTCCGTCGCGCCCGAGTATGGCCGCTACCAGCTCTGGGACACGATCCAGCAGGCAGGAGACACAAATCAAGAGGGATGTGGATGGATGAGTCTGCACAAGGAGTCTGGAGGCTATGTGCGCGTGTTGAACTGTGTTGGGTGAGCAATTCTCTGTATTCCTCTTCGCTTTACGACGTGTGAACATGGGAGAGTGCGGCTTGAGAGGTGACGTTCTTCGTCAACACGGCAGCTCGGCCTGAGAACAAGTGGGGAGCTAAAGCGCAGCTAAAGCAGCTAAAGCAGCTAAAGCAGCTAAAGCTCTTAAAAGTGAGCTCTAGCAGCCCGCTGCTTTTGATGCTGCTCTTGCTTCTCGCACACTGGGCTTTTCAGCTTTTGTGCACGTCTCGCCTGGAATCTCTTTCTGTTTAGGTGATCAGCAAGCAGGCCAGGCCCTCTGCCGCAGAGAGCCTGCATTTCTTCCCTTGGTTTGTATACTTCGTTGTTTCGCATGTTGAAGAGGCCGTGATGAAGTTCCACGGCGTGGGTGACCCGACCAAGACGCCTGCGGAGGCGACGGCGCTCTCCATGGGAAGGGACCTCCTGGCAACGGTGATCGGCATGGGCGCGCCATTCTCAGCTGCGGGAGAGCTTCAGCTACGAGAGGTGCCCTCTCTCGCAAGGCAGCTGCACACCCTGTGCGGCTCAGGTGGCAACGCCAAGCTTCACGGACCGCTACCGTGCGCATTCCCAGCATTCCCAGCCACGAATGTTTTTTGCTGGAGCTTTCAGTGAGACGAGAGCTATCACGGGGGAATCGTATGCATCTGATGAAGCTGGTTGATGTGCATGACAATTCTGGAACCCGAGGAGCGGCCCCCCGGGCCTTTCGCATGTCTGCGGAGGTGGTGAATGCCGTTGGACACTTCGTGGAGCCATTGTTGAATTGCCGTAGGCCTTGATGCTAAAGCAATGAGGATTTGTGCATGATCTTACCATTCTTGTCCATGATTTGGCGTGATGTTCGGGAAAGTCATCGCCAGGGTCCGAGGGAGAGCCGAACATGCGTTGGGTGTAGCCCGGCGGTTGCAAAAAATCCCTCCCATCCCTGGACCCAAACGGATTTTCGGAAAGGTCTCGAAGTACGGAAGACAACGCCTTTTTGAGGCATAACAGGCTCAACTGATCAAGAAGCAAGGCACACATGATGAGCCGTGACTTTCTGCAAACATTTCCGAGTCACTTATGATCTATCATGAGCGCAGTTCCACCTCTTGCACAGTTGGACCCTGTGGAGGAGATTTTGGCGGCCATCTTCTCGCGCATAGTCGCCTTCCTTTACCTGGGACCCGCGGCTCGGCTTTGAGCCATTCGAGGTGCATTCGCATCAGCGACCGTAGCACGGCCTCGCCTTCAGGCCCTGTGCCTGGTTGCGGGCACAATGTCGGGTGCCGTGCGGTCGGTGATCTTGCAGCATTTCGCCAAGGGCGGTACGCTGCCTCCAGGCGCAGCCGGTGAGGAGATTCACAGGGAAATGCACAGGGGAGCCCAAAGCAGTTTCAGCATTGGCCGCTCCTCTTCTCTTGGCTTCCGTTGTAAGGCAAGGACCCGGATTTCGGCGACATCTCGCTCAAGGAGAGCAACCAGGCAGGATGCACAGACACTAGTACCTCAAAAGAAGAGCATTGCCTAAGTCAATCTTCTCTTCTTATGGTTTCGGTTTCAGTGTGGTTCGGTTGAGGACCGGGGTGGGAAGATCTTCGGCCTTTTCATCGGCATGGGCCTTTTGCTGGGAGCGATCGGCATCGGCACCAGCGACGAGGCGAAGAAGAGCCAAATAAAGACGGCACACCAGCAGCAAGAGGACAAGGAAGAATAAGCTGTGCGTGGATTCCACCTGACAGGCGGAAGAAAAGTCCCTTGAAGCCAGCTTGATGTGGTTCGGAGTCTTGTCCATCGTCCATCTGCCCGGAGCCAAGATGCATCGCAGCAAATTGCAGTAGTGCCAGGCACTAGGACCAGAGCTGTCAAGTTGTTAACATTCAAGCTGTTAACGTCAGTGGAACAAGTCGTGACGACGGAGACTTGCGAGGCTTGGAAATGTCCAGGCAGTGAGACAGCTAGACATCAAGGCCTTGCCCCATGTGGAGGCGGTGGAGGCAAGGAATGCCATTCTTTTGCTTCGGAGGTTGGTCACCAGCAGCCGAAGGATGTCATGAACAGGTCGAGAAGCCAAAAAGCTTCATGCAGCAGATGTTCTTGCCGAAGGGATATCCCAACACCGCAGCCTGGCTAACGCACAGGCTCCATATCTGTCCTCCTATGTCCTCCTCTTTCCGTTGTCATCCCACTGCTGAGATGCATCTCAGGTCGTGGAGTCTTATGGCCGGTTTCGGACCTATGGGCTTCTGCAGGTCCTCATCAACTACCCCAAGCAGATCGTCGTCAACATGCTGTTCTGGGGTCGCGTCTATGGCGTGGGAAACGCCCAGAGCTCGCCCGTGACGGCCGTGCTGATTGACATCTTCATGACCACTGTTGACTGCGTCATGGGCTTGCTCATGGGGCTTCCGGCTGTGACCCCGCCTCAGCACGGTCCATGCCGTTGCGTGCACTGGACACCACGTGCATTTTTGCATTCGTTTTGTGGGGTGCATGTTTGCTCAGAGGACGCAGAGCTTGGACTACAGCAAGAAGAAATGGTACATCTACTCCGGGATCTTGGGCCGGCTTTCGGAGCTCGTCCAGCTGACCGCGGCTCTGGCGCCCCCCAACTGGTTCTTCCCCATCATCGTGCCCTGACGCGAGTCAAGCGACCAGACGTAGTGACCATCCTGACTGAGTGGGAGAGGAGCTTCTTGAAACGCATGTTGCGGAAAATGCTGAGAAGTGCTGAAGTGCTGAGAAGCACAGGTCGTGGCACGCTGCTTGGCAGCTTTCTCTGGCACCAGTGGCAGCCGAGTCGGGGGCGCCATCCCACCGGCCATGATGAGGAAGGAGTGCGCGGATCGCAAGGAGATCGAGCTGATCCACGCCTTTTGGATCAAGGTTGAGAAGTTCGATGGTTTTTTTTTTCGCATCTGACAGCAAGGGCCGTAGCTCGGCAACACCCGAGGTGAACGTGGCCAACGGAAACCAGGAGCCCCCGCCTTGTTTGTGCTGCCAACCCTATAAACCCCATAAACCCCATAAACCCTATAAGCCCTATAAGCCCTATAAGCCCTACAAGCCCTACAAACCCTATAAACCCTACAAACCCTTCAACACTGGGGTGGTCTTTCGAGCGCAAAGGACAAGCTCGTGTCCATCCCCTCCGGGACTCTCTCCATCGCCTTCCTCTACTACTTGGCCGCGTCGGCCGCATATCGGACGCAGTTTCCCAAACTTGGGACTTCTTTTGGGGCACTGGTACTTGTTTATAATGGGAATACTGTATAGATACAAACATATGTGTGTGTTTGGATATATAGGTATATTTTTGTATGTATTATGTTTTTGTTGTTTAATGCTATGTGGTCTCCATTTGGCCCTTCGGCGAGGTTTTCTCCGGCTGGTACCCGAGCCTCCACTGGCAGCTTCTGGCCTACGGATGTTTGCAGGCCAGCCGTTGAATCCACTATCTTTCTGCTTTTTTTGTTGAAATGCTCTTTCCATGTTTCTCATTCCATTCAATGCGCCCGTCTCCCTCTTTTTCTCGCTTAAATGACCGAACGTTCAGGTCCTGAGCTTCTGCAGCCTCTTCGGCTGCTTCCGGAACCTCCCGACGCTGCCAGGCCCAAACCCGCCCCTCTTCCACCCGAAAAGAATCAATTTGGCGCCTTTCGTTGCATCTCCCACCCGGTTTGGGATTCTGCAGGCGAGGCCCTGAAGGAGCCCTTCCTGGGCCGACGAAGCTCGGAAGTCGCCTGGGAGGAGCAGACGCCCCGGCGGCACTTGGGACGTCCTCTCGATTTCATAGAGTCTTTTCCTCTGTCTGCATATGTGTGAGTATACACATTCATGTAAATTTACTTCTTGAATATGCTATACCGTTCATGTAACAATGAATATCTGGAGAGAAACAATAATGTTGATAGCAACTCTCAAGTATAGCAACAACATCAATAATGGATAGTAATCATATCTGTGACACAAGTGCAATTTTGATGTATACCCGCGAGTGCGGCGACTTCTCCGAGGAACGACATGGATTCCGAGGTCCTCAACTCATACAGCGGCCCTGCTTCTAACCCCCCGGGGCTTGTGCGCTCGCTCAGCCGGGAGAAGGCCTGAGACCTGAGGACCTCAAGAAGAACCCGAAACGTCCACAGGAGTGAAAGGAGATACACGCTGGCACGTTTCCGAAGGGGTCCAATGGATCAAGAACATTCACCCGCTGACGACGGTTTGAGAACCTGCAGCTTGCATCAGTCGCGAAGACCGCCAAGGAGATCGTACGAGACGTCACAAATGTACGTTGCGTTCGGAGATGGTTCAAACGTTCACGCGCACACACACGCACACGTGTGCTGAAAGACCGGGCGCGATGTCTCCTACGTCGAGAAGGCGGCCCGGCACACTGTATGGCCGGCGGATCCACTTGTTTCTTCGTGACAGGTCAATCGCGAGGTGCAGAGGGAAAAAGGCAGTGCATGTAGAGCCATGACCATGGACCATCATTGACCCGAGCCGGCTTATGCGAGCTTATTGATGTTTTTCGCCCATTGCTTGCCCATTGTTTTAGGCATTGACATTGTGGGCTCCCCCTTCACCACACGCGTGGAGCCGGGTCCCACCAGTGCTGCGCGCAGCTCAAAGATGGGACAACGACGGGCCGCAAAAGGATCCTAGCGGCCGAGGCTGAACCGGGAAGAAGAGGAATCCTGGGACCCACTCAGGTTCACAGCCTGATCACCGGCACCGGCCTGCAGTATGCAGAGGCTGGCGTGGAGGCCAGGGCGCGCGCCAAGGGCGCAGCTGGGGCGCAGCGGGGGCGCAGCAGGGCACTGCAGGGCACGGCAGGGCAGAGGTTGCGGGCCAGCTCTCACATGCTCTGCAGGGCGTCTTCTATGTCACCCTGCGCGATGCGCAGCTCAACAACAGGCCAGAGAGTAGAACCCGAACTCTTTTTTTCATCGGAAGCGTAGTGGCGGATGCAGCATGATGCAGCCCTTTTCGCAGGGGCACTTCGATTGGAGAGCCTGCCCGATGCTGAGGGCGTGGCAATGCGTGCCAGTTTGGTGGGCGATGCGTCTGGAGAAATGTTGGAGCACTTGCCGTTTTCTGGCCGCTTTCCTTGAGGTGACGCTCGATGACAGCCGCATGAACTGCGCAGATCAGGGGCTCGGTGTGTGCGCCGCGCGGGTTGCATGTGTGCAGATGCCCCGGATGCTTAGATTCGGCACTAGATGCCCTTGGGATGGCCAGGTACAAGTGCTCGTATCTGATCACGCAGGCCTGCGAGCGGATAAGATGTGATCAAGGGTTGCAACGGGTTGCAGCCGTTGATTTGCTGTTGACAAGCAGTCTTCAAGTCTGCTGTCTGCTGTCGGAGCGACTTGTAGTGACCTGTAGCGACATGTGGTGACAGGCTGTGACTGTTAGTGGCAGGCTCAAACCTTCAACGTCGTCTTGCGCGTGAATGGGCAGCCGGTGAATCCGGTGGCTCCGCACACCTTTCCGTTGCTCGGTGCGCACGCGTGCCATCTTGTGCCATCGCCAGACCTTCGGGGGGCCGAAGCAACCGGACTCTTAACCCACAAAAGAGAGCTTCCAGAAGCCTTGCTGCACAAGGCTTGTGATCAACCCCAAGCCGATCGATTCGACCAATGGGGTCTGCGCCTCGGGCGCGGCATCGAATCAGAAGCGCTCTTATTGAAAAGCAAACGCAGAAGAGCGATAGGTCAGCTACGTGTACGCCTTCACCACTTTCTTCCCGGAAATTCGCAAGAGCACCGACAACATGGTGATCTTCCAAGTCCGGGATGAGTTTGGGAACGACGTGCCGGATCAGGGCACCTTGGTCCAATATGTCCGGAATCGAATCCGCTTTATCCGAAACAAACTAAAATGCGTTCGGGTTTTCGGGTGGAACCTTTTGAGAGTCTTGAGAGCCTCATGCCTTGCTGCGCAGACCGGAGCTCAGGAAACAACTTCATGATCTGCGAAGCTGATGGCCAGCCACCATGGTGACATGCATTAGGGCACGCGTTGCCACATGGATGATGTTTGACAAGATGCTCCTGTGAGGGCGGCACGATTAGCATGGACGAGCACAATGGCACTCTAGGGCACTTCGAAGGTATATGTTGATGCACTTGCATGTATCGCCAGCAAACCCCAAACCTTAAACCCTAAACCCTGTTGTGGTTTCAGGGCCTATAGCATCTCAGTGTACTGTTGCACCAAGTTTCGTAGTTGGTGGGTTCACAGGTTTTCCGAAAAACTAGCACGACACAGGGAGGCGCAAGGGCGAGGTGTACAGTGTCAGGCTTGGCATAAGAGTTCTGAACAACCCACCCCCACATGCCACGCCCCGAATTCCAAAGCCTTTCCTCCCCCATGCAAAGAACCTTGCAGGCCCTGAGCAGCGGACACCGCCTTTCCGCCCTCCCTTGGACATTGTGAGGCAAGTGGGAAAGCATGAAGTTGGTTCCGGGAGTGGCAAAACGTGATGCTGTTGTGGAGAGGGCCACGAGGGATGTGAGGGAACTCAAAGACTCAGACGCTTGAGATAGACACGTGAGAAATCGCCCCCAGATCCAGGCATGGGGCGGGGCTCTTCCGTGTGAATCTGCGGCTGGACACCACGGGCTTGCACAAGGTGAACTGCTATGCCCTAAACAAGGGCGGCATCAACGCCCGGTACTTCAACAACCGCTGGGTGGAGGGCGTTCCTGCCATCTCGCAAGTGGATACGGCCATCGACTTCAACTGGGGTGAAGGCCTGGTCACTGCAGAGTCTTCGGACTACGCCTCGGCACAGTTTGACGGATACTTGCAGGTGGTCACGCCCGCCAACTACACCTTCTACGTGACCGCCGACGACGGGGCCAAGCTGTGGCTGGATGATGAGCTGATCCTGAGCCAGGACGAAGCCGGACAGTTCCAGACGAGGCCCATCCTTCTCACCGGCGACCGGCTCTACCACGTCCAGGTCATGTACTACGAGCGCACGGGCTTCGCCCGGATGCGGCTGGAGTGGTCCTCCGACCAGGGCCTGGTCCGGGAGGTGATCGGCCGGGACTCCTGGTTCCACTCCCGCTCGAAACTCGGGCTCTTCCCACAGACCGTCCTGGTCTACGACAAGCCAGGAGAGCGCCCCAAAACCCACAACCTGCCACAGAATCTCTCTCTCTCTCTCTGTCTGTCTCTCTCTCTCTCTATACTCTCTTTGCTCGATACAACACGTTGTACAAAACAGACGCACCCCAAACACGCATCTGCACTCCCCGGCGCAAGTCACACGAAGTCACGCGAAGTATGAAGACGCAGGACCCGTCGAAGCTTTCTACCACCACGACTACCAGTATGACGTGAACCACCTGACGCTGGCCTGAAGATGCCTGCCCGATACATATATGACATATGTATATGTATATTTTTATTCCCCACCTCGGTGTGGGGTTGTTAGATGTTAAATTCAACTGCTCTCCTCACCCGGAATTCTTCTCCTCGCCCGGAACTCACCCCAGATTCTCCCTGCATTGCCCAGCCCCAGAGTGTCTTCGGAGTGCCCAGCCCCAGACTCTCCCTCTCTCTGGAATGCCCAACCCCAGTCTGCCTGGAGTGCCCAACCCCAGAGTGTCCACCTCTCTGGAGTGCCCAGCCCCAGAGTCTCGTGCCCAACCCCAGAGTGTCCCCGGAGTGCCCAGCCCCAGAGTGTCCCTGGAGTGCCTAACCCTAGAGTATCTCTACCAAGAGAGGGTGGGGATGTTCGAAGTAAAATAATTGCTCTAGTTTTAAGTTCTTATTCTTATTCCTATAACTATTCTACATTGTGTTTTCTTTGCATTATTGGTATTGTTTCTTCTGTTTTTGGGAAGGGCAAGTAAGCATGACTCAGAGCATAGGCTCCATCTTTGCTCTGCCACGAGGTCCTGGGTGCCGCCGCAGGACAGCAGCGCCAAGCCCATCCTGGGGTACCGGATCTTCAGGGATAACGGCCTGGGTGGGGCGATCGACAACCAGCTGGTGATCACCGACGAAAACACCTTCTCCTATTCTGACACTGGACTCGTTACAGGCTTTGTCTACTACTACAGGAGCGCGGAGGGTCTGCTCCAGTCCCACGCCACATGATCGTTCATCTGTTTATCGTTCCGTGTTGACAGAAAGAGAGGGGGACTTGAGATCGGTGCGCAATGTTCCAACCACAAGGTGGGACCGGGGCAACGTATCTCAAGTCGACACGGGAAGAAACCCAAATCCGACTCAGCGCAGCCGAGTCCTCAAACTTCGCTTCTCGATTCGTTTCTCTGCTCTGTTTTGTTGCAGGATCATGGCCACCAACGGCGACGACGGTGAGCCGGTGACCATCTCCGCGCAGCCCTCCGTGCCGCCCATCAAGCCCCTTAGATCGCACACGCGTGTTTTTTTTTGTTATGTTTTGTACCCCAATCTTTGTTGCAGAGGCCCGACCCCGCGTTGCTGATCACCACGGCCTCGGGAAGCATGACCTTCCGCTTCACGCCGCTGACGGGAGCCGCCTCTGGGTGGTCTCCAACCATCCGCTTCCTGGCTCTCTCTCAAAGCGAAAGCTTCGGAAAGCGGCTCTTAGAGTCTTAGAGTCTTAGAGTGTTGACTGAACTCCCCCTCCAGCACATGAAACCTGGTAAAGCCGAACCGTTGAGGCTACACGCTCTACCGCAACGATGGGCTCGGGGGTGTCCTGCGATTCACCTACGAGGGGGACATGGACGGCACGTCCAACGTTGAGCTCATGATCGGCGGCCTGGTGGAAGGGAGGCAGCCGCTTCCCCGCATTGCGATCTCTTGACCCCCGGGCATCAATCCTCTGCAGCTCCGAAGCCGAGGTACCTGTTCCAGACGTCTTACTGGAGCCGCATCGGTCAGAGCCCCCTCAGCGACGTCACGGCCGTTGTTTGCTGCGAGTTCCGCAAGCCGGGATCTCCGCCCCTGAACATCCGGCGCTCAGGCCTGGGGCCTGGACCGTGAGCCTTGCCATGTAGCAGAGCTGCTCTGCTCTTAATTGCACTAAATGGCACTAAATGGCGCTACATGGCAAATACATGGCAAATACATGGCACTTAAGGGTTCAAGGAAGGTTCCCGGGCCGGCTCCGCAGGTGACCAGAGTAACGAGAAGATCTCCTTGGCCTGGGATCCTGTTACAGCCGCTCGTTCGCAGCGCCGCAATGTGCGCTTGTGGCCTGCGCTCCGCATGTTCTGTGCGCTCTGAGAGACGAGGGTTCGCGGACGGGTTTGTGAACAGTAAAGAAATTTCTGGGCCGAGGACATTGGCACTTCGTCCCTGATCTACTACAGGCTCTTCATGGATGACGGGTATACGGAGATCTCAAAGAACACAGCGTCGGGAACCACCACCGAAGAGTTCTTCGAGTTCCTGACCCCCGGAAACCCCTACCGCTTCGCCGTCGCGGCGGTGAACGCTGCCGGGGAGGGCCCCCGAAGCGAGCGCATCACCTTGACGGCCTCGGACGTTGCGGGGCAGCCCTACGACCTGGAGGCGACGTTCCAGTCCAGCTACCGCATTGACCTGCAGTGGAAGAAGCCCTTGCTCACGGGTGCCTCGGGGATGAGTGGCTACAAGCTTTGGGTCGACGATGGGAATGGCGGGGCGATCAACAACTTGATCTGGGACGGAGGCACCAAGGCTGCCATCCTCTCCTACTCCTGGGCCCCCGTATTCTCCGACGGCACCGTGGCGCTGCTGGCCGGGCACACGTACCGCTTCCAGGCGCAGTCCGTGAACCCCACCGGGGACGGTGCCCGGTCCAACGTCTTCTCGATCGTCGCGGCCTCCAAGCCGGACGCGCCGGGCCGACCCGCCGTGGACAGGCCCCGAAGAGCCGGGCTTCCCCCACCTTCCCCACATGTGTGCGAGTGCATAGGTGGAGTTGAGTGGAGGGTGTGTGAGGGTGCCGGCATCACAGCTAGCATGTGAATTCGGATGACACGGGCGCGCCGGCGTCGCGCCCTGCCCATGCTATTGTGTTGTGTCGCAGTTGTGTCCTTAAGCTGCTCTGGGGCCATTTGGTCCATGCCGCAGGGCGACCACCTCTTCGATTGCGGTCCACATTTCCTGGGCAGCGCCTTTCAATGGAGGCTCGCCCATCCTCGGCTACATCGTGGAGCGGAAGAGCTCACCGACCGCGCAATGGACCTCCCTGACCGTGGCATCGGACAGCTACACCTCCACGACGTACGTGGATACCTTCCAGCTGGTGGCCAGGCCTCCTCCTCCCTCTAGCCGTTGAATCGCTGGAGACCGATAGAGTCCCAAAACGTCCCAAACAAAGAGACCGGTAGTGTGGAGCAGCCATAGGAGCCATGGGAGCCGCCCAGAATCGCAAAACCCGAGAGAAGCCCCCTGCCCTTCTCACCTCATCAGGTCCTTCTATATCTACCGCATCTCAGCATTCAACTTGGTCTCCGTGGGGGAGACCTTCTACTCGCCGGAGAGTTCGATTCCGGCCGCCGCGGTGCCCACGGCCCCAACCGTGTCCTTCGTGACCTCCACCGAGACGACCATCACGGTGTCCTGGGACATCCCCACCTCCGACCTCACGGTGACCGGGTTCAGGCTCTACGCGGCCTGGAGAATATAGAGGGCAGCAAAGAGAGTGAAATGTGTTTCACATTGTGGTGCGGGAGACAGAGGAGACTCCTCTGCCCCCCTTCACACATGGTTTCCGCCTCGGCCACCTAGGTGGACAACGTGCTCAAGTACGACGGCGCGGGCGTGAGCACCGTTCGCACGTTCACGTTGGCTGGCTGCACCACAGGAATCTTGGCGCAGCAGGTTATCTTATGGGACTCTTGCTCTGTGCCAGGTATTCTTTTTTCACCGCATTATATGTGCAAGGCCTCTCTGCTCTCTGAGTGAGGCAACATGCACGACTTCCGTGCAACAGCCATCAGCGATGCTGGCGAGTCTGGCTATTCTGCATCGCTGCCGCGCTACTGTGCCAGGCAGTCGCAGATGTCATAGCATAGAAGTCTCTACCGAGAAAACTTGCTCCTCTTAACCTCTTACTCTTCTTTGCACATGAAACACAGGCGGCCTTATCCTCCACCACAGCCGTCTCTGAAGTCGACCACCCTTTCAACCGTTGCACCTGGGTAGCGGGAGAAGAGTCTGTTTTAGCGTGTGTGGACAAAAGTCGCCATGCATGGATGTGTGTTTCGGGTCGACTCCTGTCTCAAACTGTTCCATCTTTTGTGTTCCCCAGGAAGTGCAGTGGGTGCCTCCCACAAACAATGGTGGTATGCCGATCTCCGGCTACAAGGTCCAGCGCTCCAACAGTGACGTGTACTTCTTCGGGTCGGTGCAGTGCCGGCAACCCGATGGCAGCTTCCTGACGACCCTGCCAGAGAACATCGACTCTTGTCTCGATGACACGGCCGCCCTCTGCCCTCAGCGACGCTGCAAATATCGAGTGCTGGCAATTAACGGTGTGGAGGACGATAACTTTGCTGACGTGTCGCCCTATTTGGTGGCGACGGCTGCTGACCTGCCCAATGCACCAAGCATGGTGACGAGAGACGACCCTCCGATAAGCAAGACGGCCATCGAGGTACACTGGTCGCCCGTAACTGCTGAAGCGGATACAGGTGGTGCCCTTGTTATCGGATACAGGGTCTATGCCAACACGGGTATCGATGATGCCCTCTCCCTGGTTTTTGATGGCTCTGGCAGTCCATCTATTCGTTCCTTCAAACACACGGGGCTAATTCCGGGAAGGCGCTACTGGTATCAGGTCAGCTCAGTGAGCAGTGTGGGCGAGGGAGTGCGAACGAACGTCTCTACCTTCCTGGCCGCGGAGCCGCCCGCGGCGCCCCTGCAGCCTCGGTTCATCACAGCTGACTTCGGGTCCATCACCATCGCCCTGGACCCCCCACCCTCGGACGGAGGCTCTCCCATCATCCGCTACGTGATCTACCACAACGATGGTACAGTCAACGGCCTTCTTAGCACTCAGCTGTCGGTCTGCGACATGTCCCGGACGCAGTTCGACGTGCCGGACCTCTTGTTAGGGCGGGACTACCAGATCCAGGTCCAGGCTCATGCCGACTGCCCCTACGGCACGGGAACCTCGCTGCACGCCTACGATGCCGATGGCATCTGCGTGGACACCGCCGCCTGCACGCTGCCGGGGGCCCGGAGTGGCATCGCCCTCTTCACCACCACCGATGTGCCCGACACCGTGACGCTGGAGAAGGTGAGCCAGTTGAGGACCAGCGTCACCTTCCGCTTCGATCCCCCTGGGGCGGATGGTGGGAGCCCTGTCACCAGCTTTGAGCCCTATCGCGACGACGGCCTTGGGGGGGACTTTGTTCGCGTGGACGTGTTGCCGACGAACTACTTCGAGATTGACACGGACCTATCTGAGTCGGGGAACGAGTACAGGTACACGGGCTTGGTGACGGGGCGCCGCTACAACTTCTTCGTCGCGGCCTGCAACAAGCGCGGGTGCCGGAGCGGCGCCATCTTCGGGCCTCTGACGGCGGCGGCGCCGCCGGACCAGCCCGACTCTCCCCTGGCCACTGCGACTTCGGCTGTGCCACCGGTGATCAACCTCACCTGGACGCCCCCAGGTCTCTATATGATTCTATAGTCCTGTAAAGCTCTTGAGACTTTCATGACGTCTACGCGCATTCTGCCGTTTCTGCGCGTCCCTGTGCAGACAACGGTGGCATGCCCATCCTCAAGACGGAGATCCAGCGTGACGACGGCCAGGAGGGCCGGCACCGGCACTTAGGATTCAGGATTCCTCGCATGCTTTTTGAATTCTTTGGAGGCACGATGCCGGTGCACGATGGCATGATTGTGCAGTGATCCGTCGCTGTTTCTCCAGGGCCTTCAACGTATATGCAAAATCAGGGCGCGTGTTACCTACTGTCTCCTGCCGTACGATTCCTTTCATGGTATAGGCGGCACTAGACAACTTAGCAGCGACCAAAAAAGAGCACCTACGCACCTCAAACAGAGATAATCTCCTCGATTCTCCATCTCGTAGACCGCTCACGCTGCTGGCCTGGACGGGCAAAGGACACGGACTACGATTCTTGTTTCTGGGCCCATGCGACCTTAAGATGCATTTGCTGCTGCTTTGTGTTGAGATTCACGGTAGCCAGCGGGGAGGATAAGGGGGGCCCTGGTCCAAGCCATGCGCTCGGGGCTAGCTTTCGTTGGCCTCGCCTTGCCCCTCAAGTCATGGGTTCCCGCCTGACACGCGGGCTTGATAGTCGTTTACATGTACATGCAGGCCATTCCAGGCCCTGCAGAGCAGGTTAGCAGGTTAGCAACAGGCAGTACAACCAAGCCAGGGACAGGGAGCCTCAGGGGGTCAACAGGGCATCTGACTTGCTCTAGAATGTAGGCAACTTCAGCTGCTGGGTGAAGGCGGACGGGGAGGCCTGCATGTCGGGAAACTGCGCTGGAATGCAGCTACGAGAAGAATGTTTCGGGCGGTTTCGGTAGACATCCCGGAGAGGATGAAAGGCAGCACTTGCGAGCCCCATGTCCGAAGCCTGCGCAATGCTAAGCCCGACCACGTCAAACTGAGACGCAACCCGGACTTTGCAGGCCGCGCTGGGCCACACCCGACGCCCCCCCACCCCCCCCATACATTTCACCACTAACAACGCGCCACGTCACCATCAGCTGGCCCCCCTCCTCTCCCCGCCCCTTCTCCCCCCCCCCTCCTCTACCCCTCCTCGCGCTCTCATGGCCATGAAAAGCACTGTAAATCGTTGCCAGTGCCGGCATAGCTGAGAACCCTGGCCCCGGCAACGTAGATCGGTTCTTCGTGCAATATGTCGTGACTTGCAGCATCAATGGAATATGATGGACAATTCATTGACAAGGCTGATGGCTTTTGCGAGCTTGCTCGAAGTGTTGTTCAGTGTTGTTCAAGCCGCTGTGCAGCTTGCAGGAATGCCTGCGTCCCTCCTGGCGCAGCTGGAGGGCGGCGCCTTTGCACAGGCCCCGCGCTCTGCGCCACTCGGATGCCCGGGACAAAAGAAGGCGGCCGAGAGTTGGGGCCTCGGATGCGGCGAGCAGCTGCCAACACGCAACGCGAGCCTCGCGCAGTCTGAAGTGTTTAAATCTGAAGTGTCTGCGAGATGTTGGGAGACTTCCAGGCCCGCAGTCTGGCATCTCTGGACAGGAGACGCAGCTGCAAAGAAGTGACACACGCAACCAGTGAACCGCGCCAGCCGCAGGACTTGCCAACCGACAGCCCAGCGCGGCCATCTGCAGGATGCGCCAGCGGGGGGGGGGGGGGGGGGGGAAGTTTGCAGCATAAGTTGCAGAGGGCGCATCACCAGGGCACGTGTTGCACGGATTGCACGACGTTGCACGAGGTTGCAGAGAGGGCACGAGTGCTGCAGCAATTGGCAACAGGAGCTCCCAGCCATGCGCGTGGCAAACCTGCCACTCGGCTCGGCATTGGCTTATTTGTACATCCTGCGTGTTTGCCCTTTTCGGGCCTTCGGCACGTCAGGGCCCGTAGAGGCCCTTGCTGATTTGGGGGCTTCCCGGGGCTTTCCTGGTCCTTTTGGGGTGAAATGGAGGGGTGCCCAAAACCATCGATTTCAGTACTGAAAAATAACATTTTTCATTGCGGGCAGGGAAGAAGAAGGAGCCATCACAGATGAAAGGAGCTCCTTGCTGAAAATCCCACAGTTGATGGAGCCGGGCCAATTTAGAACGCACAGGATGTGCCATGTTGGAATGTGGCCAGTGTTGAAGACGTTCTGCCTTCTGCGATCCGAACTTGTGCTTTTCTGGCTGGCATGGTTTCTGCGACTTCCAAGCTTTTTGTTTGTGTTAATGGTTCCTATGGTTTTTTCGCAAGAGCAAAACGAGGAAAGAACTTGAACGCCCGTCTTGACTTGAACCCAGTGGACCCTCAAGTCCCAAACTATTCAGCACGGATTGTCACGCGGCCGATCAGTCTGGAACCATCTTGACTAGGCTCAACAGCACGTGTTCTCGGCTTTCCAGGGTGGCGTTGTAGCTGTCTATTGGCACCCCGCCCCCTCCATGTCCCCCCCCCCCACCCGACACACGGCTTGTCTTAGGCAGAGGCCCGGCCGGGGGACACCGACATGGAGACCGCACCGTGCCTGCAGAGACCGAGAGCAAGTTGAGCAAATTTGGCAAACTGGGGGGGGGAACAGCTGGGGAAAGAGGAGAAGCAAGAAACGAAGCTTTTGACAAGCGGAAGATAAGACGGAAGAGTTCACATCCTCTGAGCAGATTCTGGGTAGAGAGCAGAGGGGGGGGGGCGTAAGCTGACGTGCGCAAACGCACCTTCCGATCAGGGAGTTCTGGCCAAGCGAGTTGCGGCTGGCGATGCTTCAGAAGACTCCCTAGATGAGGCCGGGGAACCGAGTCGTCAGAAATCCTTAGACTCCTTGCAGACTCTGCTGGATTTTCAGCCCTTCTGCCCTCCTGGCCAAGGCCGCGCACCTGCTGCTGCAGGCACTGCCAGCTGCGCAGGATCCCTATGGCTTCGCCATCCCTCCGCCATCCGCCTGGATGGAGAGGTATGCGAGGGATGGGAGGCAGAGGCCGAGGCCGGAAAACCAAAGGTCGGAGGTTTTGGAGAAAGCCTCGGCGGGCTCGGCGGGCTCTCCGACCGGTCGCGGGGTGCCGCTGCGGCTGGTGGCGCAGCACCCGGACGTCGCATGGGAGGTGGACGGGCAGCTGCAGCTCTTGATTGGCGCCGCCAAGCGGACTGGGGACCCGAGTGACGTGTGGTAGTGACCTGCGGTAATGATTTATTTTGTCTGTGGCCCCACATGATGCCTGGATGTGGCACAGCCCGATTTCCGTTGGAGAGGATGCTGTGCGGAACGGTGTGAAGTCGAACACCGCTCCGTATATTTTAAAAAACTATAGAGCCCTGCAGTTTCACCTACAGTAGGACCTAGGTTGCACACTGTGATGTCGTGACGTATAAGTGACGCAGTGGACACGGCGGATGGAAAGGTTGATTTGGGGCCACCCGACGCAGTCCAGGTCTGTGATCTGTTTGTGCAGACCTGTGGTTTTGCATGAAGGACGGTGTCTTCTCCTTGCTCGCGGAGGTAGATGCGCCCGACTTCACCTACTCCGAACCTCTGGCTGTGACAACTTATTTTTTTGGGTGAACGGGTGAACGTGTTGGGTGAGTTTCGCCGCGTGCCACCCAGTCCTAAGCCTTTCTCCGTTCAGGACACGACGGTCACAGCCGGCCTGACCTACCGCTATCGGTCGGCGGCTCGAAGATTCTCAGCGGGGCCCTGCCGTGTGGCCTTTGGTGTGGCTTGGATCACAGGATCCGCATCCACCACGAGCAGTCGGCCAGCGACTTCAGCAACCTTGCGACCTTCGTGGCCGCAGGTCCCTTGAGATTGCACGGAGTGATTGTTCTTGGCCCATGTCGAGTGGAGGCTTGCCTGACCAACCCGCTGCCGTCTTGCTGGTGTCGCAGCTAGGGCCCGAGGGCTTCTGTGAGTCTTTCGGTGTCTTTTGTATCTCCAAGGCTTCAGTCGTTGGATCTTGCATTCGACAAGAGCTGGCGCGGAAGAGAATTGAGTGACTGTTCTTTCCACGGTGCCGAAACACGCCAAGGTCGAAGACTGAGATCACCGTGTCATGGACCACACCGACAGCTAACGGGGCAGACATCTACCAGCCAGCAGCCAAGAACGTCCACGGTTTAGCAGCTAGACATGGGATTTGGGCCTTCCGAACGCCTATGCCGATGAGCGCGATCGTAAACGGGCGACCCTAAATGCAGACAAGAAAGATGCAAACAGGGGTTGGAGAGAGATGAGAACGCACAATCTGATGGAGCGCTGCCGCCCAAGGTTCATCCTGCGACGGGACGATGGGCTCGGCTCCACTCTGACGCCAATCTATCGTGCGGGCCTTTCGAGAGGGGTCCCTGTCCATCCCTTTCCGGAACTCCGCAGGACCCTAAACCTCTTAACCCTACACCCTAAACCCTAAACCCTGAATCCTAAACTCTCGAGGGAGTGGATGGGAGTGGGTACGAGATGGTACGAGGTGGTAGACGAGTTGCGAAGTTGCGACCGTCAACTTTGGTCCGGCCGAGGCGGCGCGGCAACGACCTTCACAAGCAGCGACCTGGCCACGGGACGCTTCTTGGATGTCAACTTGGGTGGTGAGGAATATGTATATATATATACATCATATATATAAATAAATAAATAAATAAATAAATAAATAAATAAATAAATAAATATATAAATAAATAAATAAATAAATAAATATATATATATATATATATATATTTATACACATATTTATATATACCAAAGGTTAAGAGGGGTGGGGGGTTGGGTTTCGGAGTTTAGGAGTTTAGGGGAAAAATCTGACGGGCTGTCGCAGACACAGGTGAAAGTGCTTGTTTTGGAGGCTACTACTCCTTCTCCGTGGCGGCGCGCAACGCTGCAGGACTCCGGAAAGGGTACTTAAAAGGGCCGGAGCATGATCTTCACTCAGACCGTGTGTGGAGCCCCCCCCGTCCCCCCCGTTTCTTTTTTTGGTTGGTTCTTGCTTCTCTCTTTTTCTCCCCCATTCAGCTCAAGGAGAGGGCCCGGCCAGCGAGCCACAGCGGTTCCTGTCCGCCTCCATGCCGAGCCCCGTGGGCCAGCCCGGACCCCGAAGCAGAGAGCATCATACGGCCCCTTGAACCCTCAACCCTACTGCCCTACGATCAAGGCCCCATTAGCCACCCAAGAAGCCCTGCAACTCCTAGGCCCGTTCTGCAGACCTCCTCGTGCTCGGGCGGCTCCATCACCTTCAAGTGGTCCGTCCCGGAGGCGAGCTCACGCAGAATGCGCTCGGACAGATGTGGATGATGGCAGATGGGAGGAGTAATGAGGAGTAGATGTGAGAGATGTGAGTGCAGGATGATGGCGGCTGTCCCGTGTCCCACGCCCAGCGATGACGAGACATGTCACACCAGGGACTTTCGATTCGATTTCCGGTGCCGTTGGCGCCACCCAAGAGCGGGGCTGTGAATCCCAAGGATCCGGTACCGCATCCTCCGTGACGGAGTGGCCACCGGAACCGAGGTGGAACACTACGAATAGAATGAAATCCGAATGCAGCCTCGAGGGAGAGATCTGGCTCCTTGTTGCAGGTCTTGGCCACAACCATCACCTACTTCACGTCAGGACGCATTGCTGAGGGTAGATGAGGGTTGAAGAGCTGCTGACCGAAGTGCTGAAGAAATTCTTGACGCTTTTTCCGAGTCCCACCTTTCTCCGCAGGCCTGGAATGCGCCACCACCTACCTCTGGAGTGTGGAAGCTAAGCCCTGCACTTGGGATCACGTGCCGGAAACGTGGGGGGAGGCAGCTTATGTATGCGCTGTGAGGAACTGCCTGGACATGTGGGGTCGGGGACTCGGACCTTGTCCCCTCAGTGGGCTGTTCTTTTCCACAGCTGCCCGCCAATCGTGTCCCGGACATTCTTGACATATTCTTGACTGTCGCTGCTACAGGAATGCTATGCCTATTCTCGCACCTTGTGGGGCCAGTCTTGTGAGACCAAGAAAAAGAGATAGCGTGGCCTTTATGTTTTTGTTGTTGTTTTGTTTTTCTCTTCGTTTTTGTCGAATACTTTCGCTGCATTTGCGGCTCTGGCTCGTCTTTCTGTGTGAACACTGATGGCGGCCTTGGTTGCTAGAAAGAAGAGGGTTGTGACTAGTTCTGAGTCGGTCTGTGATATCCGTGATCATAGTCTAAAATTTCGGGACCCCCGGACCATCCCCTTCCTTTCGCTTTTCGGGAAGCTTGTATTGTCGTTGAGATGAGGGGTCGCGGGAGCAGCTGGGGGAATCCACAGCAGAACAGCCGGGGAGCGCTGGTCGGCCAGCTCGAGTGATCCCCCGAAGCCTTGACACAACAGCGGGGAAGAATCGGCGTGACTGAGGCTTGAACAAGAGGTGTGAGTGGAGTTTCATGGAGTTTCACCTCATGAGTGAGGGAGAGAGAGAGGGGCAGTTCCTCGAGTGCTCGTTGCCTGTTCCTTGAGAAGAGAGGGAAGTCCTTGGCTCATGCTTTTTTCCCCGCTCGCGCTCTCAAGGCAGCTCGTCGGCGTACCTCGAGAGCTACACTGCCTCGCTGCCGGGCCGGGTCTCCGGGCTGAACGCGGGGGGCCCCACGTTTAAGGAAGCTCTGAGCTTCGCAGCTTCGCAGCTTCGCAGCTTCGCAGCGTCGCAGCTTCGCAGCTTCGCAGCTTCGCATGCAGATCCCCGTCATATCCGTCATCTGCTGTGAGGCCACGCACGTGTCCTCGACAGAGCTTCTCTACAACTGGATCCCCCTCCTTGGCTCCACGGAGCCCGGTGCCCAGAACCCTGCCATTCCCCAGCTTACTTCGACACCGCTCTCTTGTACTCTTTTAAAGTCTTGGATTCCTGCGCCCAACTTGAGTTCTGAGAGAACTCCAAAAAGCTAAGTCAGAAAGCAACACAAAGCTCTGGAGAGGCTTGCGCTCTGAGAGGGTTATAGCGGCGCTCTTTCAGTCTTTCAGTTCCCTGAAAGATGCGAGGGCCTGAGACCCCCCCCTCCCCCTCCCCCCCGCCCAACAAAACCCACCAAACAAAAAAGTCAGCCCAACACACTGCCCAAGTTTTGGTTTTGCACTACACGCCATCCCTCTTCGTCTACACTCTGTTCCTCTTTTGGCGCAAGGACCTCTCTCTCTCTCTGTCTCTGTGCTTTTCTCGCACTTACAACAAAGGATGTGTCACGGACAAGGAGGGCGTTGGTGGGTGGGTGGGTGGTTAAAGGCGGGTGTGTGCCTCTCCGTGTCTCTGTGTGCCTCTGAGGATTGGCTCCACGGATTTCTCGATCCTGAAGGGCTACGAGCTGTGGATGGATGACGGGCTCGGAGGCAGGGAACACTTCAAACTTTCAGACATTTAGCAAAAGCGCTTTCGGGGCGGTTTCTGCCCATTTCGGCCCTTTTTTGGGCGCCGTTGATATTTGAGGCAAGTTCTCCCGCACCTATGATGGCTACAACAAGCCCTTTGAGACCTACTTCGTGGCCACCGGGCTGGTGCTGCGCCCTCAGGACAACATGGACCACTGACGCTACCGAAACCTCTCCTCTACCAAGGAGCCAACATCCGAAGCCCTCTATAGAGAACTTAAGATGCGTGAAGGCCTGGTCGCACCTACCGATCCTACGTGCGCGCCGTCAATGTCGTTGCGGCCTTATATACAGGGACTCGGTCTGGGGAACGTCTTGTGCTGCCCTCACACAGGTTGGATCCGGTCCTGACTCCGACGTGCAGCCGGCGAAAGGTTTGTCTTCTGGTACAGAAAGGAATTGGGGGTTCCCCAAGAGTCCCCACCTCGCACCCTGTGCCAGGTGCTGTACCGCGCCATGGCCGTCGAGCCTTCGGCGCCGAGCAATCTGCAGGCAGCCTCCGTGGAATCATCGTTTTTATTGTGTGTGTGTGTGTGTTTTTTTTTTTTCCTCTCTCTCTCTCTCTATCTCTTTTCAGCTCTTTTGGTTCTCTCACAAAGCTCCAAGTAGGATGCAAGGGCCCCGACTTTTCGCAACATTCAACTCCCACACTAAGCCCTTTTGTGCCCTATCATCCAAAGTCAGTTTGCATGTGCACGCAGGTTGCCTCGGCCGGTGCCGAGGAGGTCATCTGCAGTTGGAAGCCGCCACAGGAAAGAGAGGGGCTAAGGGGCGAAGGGGCTATTCAGGGGCAAGATGCTGGTTGCTCTTTCATATCGACACAGCATCGACCATCCTCAAGCGCCCCATGCCGCTTGTTCTGGAAGGACAACGGCGGGGAGCCAGTGCTCCACTATGTCCTGGAGTATGCGCCGGACACCTCCCTTGCATTCGGGGGCTCTCTTGAGAGCGGGCGTTGTCGGGCGGGTCTGATATGTGGCTGTGCTTGGCTTCTCCCTCTCCTGGACCTCCCCTCCCTCCTTTATACTCAGGGATGACTCTGACATCACAACCTAGCGAGAGCATTTCCCCAGAGCAAG